TGGTCAGTGTATATCACCTGCTAATAGTTTCATCATTGAAAAGATCAACAACACTAGAGCTGTTCTGTTTGGTGGACTAGAGATGGATCTTACTTGGGGCCCTTATACTAACAATATTTATATATTAGAGATATCAATCAGCACTGTGGTATGTTAAATTATGTGTACTGAATGTATGCACACACACACGCACACACACACACACACACACACACTATTGTTGGACCAGTATGGCTTTTTCAATTTTAGTTCTAGTTTAGTTCTATCAAAACTGCAAATAGTTCTAGCTCTAGTTCCTTTTTTAGGCTGTTACAAGAATAGTTCTAGTTCTTGTTAGTGTAAAATTTATTGGGTTAGTTCTAGTTATAGTTCCTACATATAGCTTTTAGTATAGTTAGTCCTAGTTCTAGTTCCTTGAAATTTTTACTGTTAGATAGTTCTAGTTTGGTATTAAGCTCTTAATTATAGTTCTAGTTACATGTATGTGCTCTAAACTGCATTGTGAATAATAACTGCATTGTGAAAGTATAATAACCATGCATGCAATGAGTTTTCCATCATAATTAATGCACAATAAATATATATTGCAAGTTCACTGTACAGTTTATTTAATGTACTGCTTGTTTTTCCTAAGTAATGTCTCTCTCTCTAAAGTATCGTTAGTCAGCCTAAATGCTTTAGTCTGTATCTTCATTGTATATAAAGTAATCCCAGACAGTGCTTTGAATTCAGCTTCGAACTTTATATAATAATAGATATATATTGCAAGTTCACTGTTGTTGTGACCGAAACGTGTGAAAGGCAACCACGGCAAAACTCTCAGAAGTATATTTTACAATTTGAATAAACTGAACAGAACTTTCACAGAACTGGAAACAGATTAAAAGCATGCACTTATATAAACAGTTAAGGCGGATTTACAATATGACATTAGGCCAGCGTACCGTCAATTTTTAATCTAAAACGTGGGCGATTTGACCTTTTGACGCATGCTTTCCGCTGGAATAGAACCAGATTCTATTCCAGCGTCAACGTAACGTCAGGACTAGCGTAATATTGTAAATCCGCCTTTACTGATTACATAACAGAACATAAACATTAATTAACACATAGTTACATCATCATTGCATAATAATAAATCATAATAATAACAAAGAACTGAAATGCCTAGCAGTAAAGAAAGTAATAATAATAGAAATAATAATCACTATAATACATAATAATAATAACTAGACGAATGTAAAACATTAAGGGGCTCAGCCCCCTAGCCACGCTATATTTTAAAGGTTATATGGTATAGAGCTACATTATTGTACATGTACGTGAGTAAATACAGTAGTTTGTAATGAAGTTATCGTGCTTGGAAATACAAATTTTCTTTATCAGTTTATCACATTCTGCAGCAAAAAAGTTGTGTTGGAACCCAGAGACAGTAACTGCAGTCATGGGTTGTCAGTAGTTGTGGAGGCTTTACAAGCTCACAACTGTGGCATATCTGCCTTCTTAATCTTCCTTGCTGTATTTGGGAAGTAGTAGAGACTTCTCATGCATTCTTGCTGACTGAAGTGAGTGACTTGTAACTTATAAGGTCAAGAACATGAAGTACAATGAAGAATTGATAGCTGGCGCCATTTTATTTCACTGTGACCACACCCGTTTTCAAAGA